TGTAATCAAATAATTAGCTGTATGACAATTGGATTATTTAAAAGAGGTTCTTAAAAGGGATAAAATGCACATAGGTTTCAAAAAAGGTTTATTAATCAGATAATTAGGCCAATAATAACAGTTGAATGACCGTGCTAAAATCACGGAACCCATGCCTAACACTTTCTCCTGGGTTAACAGAATTTCTTACCCGGACCATAAATAAGAGTCAAACTTCCTCGATTCGGGATTTTAAACCGGTGACTTGGGAAACCATAAATTATCCCAAGTGGCAACTCTGAATATAAATAATCTCGTTTCGGTTTGTCACTTTAATTGGAAAAACTCCCCTAGACCCCCTTCGGGGTAGAAAAAGGAGGTGTGACAACCATTACCTAGGTGTTTGCCTAATGGGATAAGGACGTTAATGCTTGTTTTGTTGATTGGGGTGTATTATAGCTCTCAACTCTACAATACCCATTCAATACCTCTCAGTCAGAGAGTGACTTTGCCCAATTTGGCTTTCTTAAGACCAAATGAGCATCATTCAAAATAGTTGATAAGAGCTCAAGTCGGGTTATTACTATCTCTAGGTTGAACCCTTTAATTGGGTTAATCAATCTCTCAATTGACCTAATTTCTTGTTAGCTAAGTTATCCTAGACTAGGTCCCTCTTTATCAAGTAGAGACTAAGTCAAATAGGCATGAATCAATGTTTGCAACCATTGATTCTACAATTGAAGCATGAACTAAGCTAAATAATCAACACCCAATCATAAATAAGCACTAAATTAATCACCCATAAGGTTTTTACACTAGGGCTGGGTCACAACCCTAGTAGAAGTGTAGCTACTCAAAATAGAAATTACAAAAAATAGAGAAGAAAAGCTAATTAAACTCATAATGGAAAATTAAAATAACGAAATCTAATGTTAAAACACCAAAATAAGGTAAAACTCCATAAAGTAGTAAAGAAAAATGGCTAGAGCAACTTCAGATGTTCAAACTTGACCTAAGGTGAAACTCGTCTATTTATACAGGGACAAAAATCGTGGACAAAAATTCCCTCAGAAGGTTCTGCGGCAGTACAATTCCATGTGCGATCCGCATATTTCTTCAGTTGGCAAGAAAAGGAGTTATGTGGCCACATTTTCTGAATTGCGGCTCTGAGGCAATCTTGTGCGGTCCACACATTTTTGCACTGCGACCGTGAGGCAATCTTCTACAGCCACACAATTCTTGTGAGGTCCGCACTTCACAAAGGTTTCAGGACCTGGTCTTTTAGCATACTCTCTGAACTTTGCATCTTTGTCTGTAAAAACCTAGTTCTGCGGCTGCACAATTCATGTGCGGACGCACATATCTGAAAGTCCTGTTGGAAATTCCTTCTTGTTTTGCGGCCGCACAATTCCTTATGCAGACTGCACATTTGTGCTTCTGTGCCCTTTATTTGCCTTGTGCTTCGGAACACTCCTTTTTTAGTCGGATTTCATCTCGGGGGAGCAAACTTCCAGCATTCTTGCAGTTTGCACAATTTCATTAGTTTCGGGAACGCAATTCGATACTTTCGGACTGAAACAATAGCTAAAAGGTGCTAATAAGTAGTCAAAATCTCCACTTATCAAACACCCGAAGAAATGAATGAACCTCGGAAAGGTCGATTGAAGTTGAACTCGGGACCAACCTTGAAATAATAAAGATGCTTGAGGAACTAACAAGGTGAGTGGAAGCAGGGGAAAAAAAGATTGAAGCCAATGACAAAAGATTTGAGACCTATAACTCCAGGGTTGATCAGATCCCAGGAGCATCCCCGATATTAAAAGGCCTGGATTCGAAAAACTTTGTCCAAAAGCCTTTGCCTACGAGCACGGCGCCGAAGCCAATCCTGAAGAAGTTCTATACGCCCGAAATTCTAAAGTATAATGGAACAACAGACCAAAATGAACATGTGACCTCTTACACGTGTGATCATCAAGCGTAACGACTTAGAAGATGACGAAATCGAGTCCGTTCTGCTGAAAAAATCCAGAGAAACCTTGTCAAAAGGAGCTATGCTATGGTATCACAACTTACTCCCAAGATTCTATTGATTCGTTTGTTATGCTTGCAGATGCCTTTGTAAAGGCTCACGTCAGGGCCATCAAGGTTGAGACCGGGAAGTCAGACCTTTTTAAAGTAAAGCATAGAGATAACGAGATGCTTAGAGAATTCGTGTCAAGGTTTCAAATGGACCGAATGGATCTGCCTTCGGTCGTGGATGATTAGGCCGTTCAGGCATTCACCCAAGGACTTAACCCCCAAAGCTCACTGGCTTCGCAGTAGTTGAAACATAATTTGATTGAATACCCAGTGGTAACTTGGGTCGACGTCCATAACAGCTACCAATCAAATATCAGAGTCGAAGATGATCAGCTAGGGGCCCCCTTCGGATCTGTGTATCCCATCAGAACTAGTGACAGATCTAAAAAAGCCATCGATCATGAACCAAGACCGAATAGAGATCGACATCAACCATATAGCAGAGATCGAAGGTAATAGGTCCAAACGTAACCCTACGAGGAGCAAAAAAAGGAGCGATCGAGGCCACAATAGTCAGGGACTCATGACTAAACACAGTTTCGACTGGCCACTCAGGGCCAGGGAGGCACCGAGATTACCAGAAATACAATTTTAGTGTCGATGCCGGTATCTTCCATTGGACGCATTAAAGATACTAAGTGGCCTCTGCCATTGCAATCTAATCCTACCCAAAGGAACCCCAGCCTGATGTGTAAGTATCATGGAACTCAGGGCCACAGGACAGAAGACTGCCGATAATTAAGGGAAAAAATGGCCCGATTATCCAATAACGGACACCTCTGGGAATTTTGAGTGATTGATCTAAAGACCACTTCAACAATAGGGACTCCAACAAGCAGGCCAAGCAAGAGGAACCTCACCACGTCATTAACATGATCATTGGTGGAGTCGACTTCCCAGGGGCAAATGCTAAAACGCACTAAGGTGTCCATTACAAGGGGAAAGCAAACTCGAGATTACATACCGGAGGGCACCATATCTTTTGACGACGAGGACGCTGAAGGCATCGTGCAGCCACATAATGATGCACTAGTAATATGTGTACTCATAAATAAATCTTGAGTTAAGCGTGTGTTAATTAATCCAGGTAGCTCGGCCAATATCATCAGATAGAGGGTCATGGAATAGTTGTGTCTACAAGACAAATAGTGCCTGCAGTCCAGGTTTTAAACGGATTCAACAGGGCATACAAAACTACTAAAGGGGAGATAACCCTGTCGGTGAACACCGCTGGGACCATTCAGGAGACAAAGTTCTACGTTATTGAAGGGGATATGAGATATAATGCTCTACTCGAAAGGCCATGGATTCACAATATGAGGAAAATACCCTCGACACTACACCAGGCACTGAAGTTCCCACACCGGGAGGGATCAAGACGGTTTATGGAGAACAACTGACTGCAAAAGAAATGTGCGCGATCGATGAAGTGATCTTGATTTTCGCACTTTTGACATCGAAGAACTCGGATCCGGTTAGGAAGGAAGAAACTAATAGCAATCACCGACATCGGCCCTGATCGAACCAGTAAAGCAAGAAACGTGCGAGGATGATGATTATGGAGTTCCTAGGCCGTTCATGACCCCTGACGATTCCGACGCTACCAAATCAACTGTCGAGGAGCTGGAGCAAGTCATATTGATCGAACACTTTCCCGATCGGAAAGTATACCTGGGCACATGGTTAGCACCCGAGCTCAGGAGAAAACTCATTAATTTCCTTACAACTAATGACGACTGTTTTGCTTGGTCCCATTTAGACATGACAAGGATCCCGCCGGAAATAACCACTCATAAGCTAAGCTTGGATCCAAAGTTCCACCCGGTTAAACGGAAGAGGAGGCCTCAATCCGAAGTCAAGCATGCATTCATCAAAGATGAGGTATCCAAATTCCTTAGAATATGTTCCATCTGGAAAGTTAAGTACCTAGATTGGTTGTCTAATGTAGTAGTGCTAAAAAGGGAAATAAATTAAGAATGTGCGTAGATTACAATGACTTGAATAAAACGTGCCCCAAGGATTCTTTTCCTTTGCCTAATATCGATCGTATGATCGATGCAACAACCAGACATGAGATACTCAGCTTTCTCGATGCCTATTCTGGGTACAACCAAATCCGGATGGACCCAGCAAATCAATAAATAACTTCCTTTATCACTAAATTTGGTAGCTATTGTTATAACACAATGCCATTCTTACTAAAAAAATATCGGTGTCACTTATCAACGCCTAGTAAACCGGATGTTCGCCAAACAAATAGGAAAGTCAATGGAAGTTTACGTTGACGACATGTGAGTTAAGTCCCTACGAGCAGAGGACCATTTGGAACATTTGCAGGAATCTTTCACCATACTGAAGAGATACAATATGAAGCTGAACCCGGAGAAATGCGCATTCGGAGTAGGGTCAGGGAAGTTCCTTGGATTCATGGTGTCCAATCGAGGGATCGAGATCAATCCCGACAAAATCAAAGCTATAGAATATATTACCATGGTGGATAGTGTCAATGTCGTTCAGAGGCTAACCACGCGCATTGCTGCTCTGGGCTGATTCATATCGAGGTTGTCCGATAAGAGCCATCGGTTCTTCGCGTTATTGAAAAAACAGAATAACTTTTCATGGACCCCGGAGTGCCAACAAGCTTTGGAAGAACTCAAATGTTACCTTCGAGCCCACCCTTGCTCCATACTCTAAAGGCAGACAAATAGTTGTACCTGTACTTAGAGGTATCTAAGATAGCAATAAGTGGAGTCTTAGTCCGGAAAGAGGAAGGTACACAATTTCCGATCTATTATGTTGGTAGAACTCTAGCCGTGGCCGAAACAAGGTACCATCACCTAGAAAAACTGGTGTTTCCTTTGCTATGTGTCTCCAGAAAATTAAAGCCGTACTTTCAATGCCATCCCATATGCGTTGTAACTTCTTACCCACTTAGGAACATAATGCACAAACCCGAGCTCTCGGGCCGACTGGCCAAATTGGCCCTAGAAATTAGTGGGTACGATATCGAATATCGGCCCCGAAATGCCATCAAATATCAAATTCTGGTAGACTTCATGGCCGAGTTCATACCGTCCATAATACCCGAAGTCAAAAAGGAATTGTTGCTAACCTCGGGGACTTCCTCGCAAATCTGGACCCTCTTTACAGATGGTGCCTCGAACGCAAAGGGGTCCAGACTCGGCATCGTGCTGAAGCCGCCAACGGTTAACGTAGTTAGGCAATCCATTAGAACTGTAAAATTGACTAACAATGAGGTTGAGTATGAGGCAATGATTGCAGGTCTCGAACTAGCTAAAAGCCTGGGGGCCAAAGTGGTCGAAGCTAAGTGCGACTCCTTCCTTGTGGTAAATCAAGTCAATGGGACATTTGAAGTAAAAGAGGAGCAAATGTGAAGATACTTAGACAAATTACAGGTAACACTACATCGATTTAAGGAATAGACCCTAAAGCACGTACCCCAAGATCAAAATACCAAAGCTGATGCTCCGGCTAACTTGGTTTCATCAGTTGATAATGATGAATCCAATTCAAGAACGATTGTTCAGCTTATGAAATCACTGGTGGAAGAAGGCCATGCTGAAATAAACTCAACAAGTTTGACCTGGGACTGGGGAAATAAGTATATAGACTATTTGAAGATTGGGAATTTGCCATCAGATCCTAAAGAATCAAGAGATGTGCGCATGAAGGCAGCCAGGTTTAGCTTGTTAAAAGATATTTTGTACAGAAGAACGTTGTGGCCCACTCGCCATATGTTTTGGACCGGGAGACACAAAATACATCTTGAGAGAAGTTCACGAGGTCATCGGTAGAAACCATTTGGGGGCCGAGTCTTTGGTTTGGAAGATAATCAGGGTTGGCTATTACTGGATTGACATGGAGAAAGATGCAAAGGACTTTGTACGAAGATGTGACGATCGTCAGAGATATGCACCGATGATCCATCAGTCCAGAGTTGCTACTACATTCGGTCTTATCACCTTGGCCATTGATGAAATGGGGGAATAGACATAGTAGGTCCCCTGCCACAGGCACCCGATAAGGCTCATTTTATACTATTTACAACTGACTATTTCTCTAAATGGGTCGAAGCTCAGGCATTCGAGAAGGTCCTGGAAAAGGAGGTCATAGACATCATTTGGGAACACATAATATGCCGGTTCTGTATACTGACCGAGATAGTGTGTGATAACGAGAAGCAGTTCATCGGCAGTAAGGTAAGCAAATTTTTCGAGGAACATAAGATCAGAAAGATCTTGTCAACACCCTATCACCCCGGTGGGAACGGACAGGCGGAGTCTACGAACAAGACAATACTTTAAAACCTTAAGAAAAGGTTGACCGATGCTAAAGGGAATGAAAGTAAATTCTTCCCAAAGTCCTGTGGGCATACCGTACCACCTCAAAAAGAGTACTAGGGCCACTCTATTCTCGTTGGTCTACGGTTTCGAAGCACTAATACCAGTTGAGGTGGAAAAACTGAGCCTTGGGTTCTGATACGCCACCGAAGAATCAAACAGTAAGGCCATGAGCACAAGACTAGAATTGTTGGATGAGAGGCACGAGGCCGCCCTAGTACCGTTGGCCGCCCAGAAATAGCAGATAGAAAGATATTACAACCGAAGAGCCAACCTCCGACACTTTAATATCGGGGACTTGGTGTTAAGAAAAGTAACAACTGAACACCCAGAACCCGAAAAAAGGGAAGCTAGGACCAAATTGGTAAGGACATATCGAGTCATCGGGATTATCGATAAAGGTTCATACAAACTCGAAGCAGAAAACGTGCATAGTTACCGAACAACTAGAATGTGATGCAGTTAAAACGATGCTACTGCTAAGGTACGATCTCTTTCACTTTTTTTATATTACAACTCGGAATAACACTTGCAGGCAACTACCAAAGGAGAATGTGGTTGTTAGTCCTGAAAGCACGTGTTGCACTCTTTTTCCCTTGAATCCGTTTTTTCCCAAATGGGTTTCTCGGCAAGGTTTTAAACGAGGCAATAGTGGATAGTGCTAAATTAGAATCAAAGATTGGTTTTAAATCAGAGTCAACGGTTGCATCAGCAGTATCCGAGCCCTCTCGAGATCGACCTTGTATACTAGGGCCCATCACCCTCGGGTCATCAAAATTTTCAGCAAGGAAACTTTGTTCTTGAACAGTCTAGGCTCGGTGACTAGGATTTTTTGTAAGGGCCAAACGGTCAAGTGAACCATGCCCGCATAGGCCACCTTAGCCATAATGAAAGTTTTTATAAGCTTACAATCTTGTACATTACACACAGAAATGAAAGAATGTTTCTGACTTGCTAATAAATGCTTTTGCTTCTTAATAGTATTGAGCCTAAGGGCTATTCCTACGCGGGGACTATCGAGCCCAAGAGCCACCCCTATCCGAGCCCAAATAGCAAACCCCACTCGGGGACTGTGGTCCGAAATAAATACGGCCGACTCGGGTTATCGAAACCCAGAGGTACAAAGCCTATTAGGTAGTACCTAAATCGGAAAGGCTACGATCACCTTAAAAAATGATTCGGAGACGTCCAAAGACCGTAATCAATACATAAGTCCTTCAACATAATTCTAAACCTGTTCAAAGGTTGCCCTCGGCAAAGGCATAGTCTAAAAACATTAAAGCTAGAATTTTGGGAAATTTCCGGTCACTCTGAGTTTCCACGAGTTTCGAGCAAAAATTACATCAAGGATAGGCTTTGTTTGAACCTTCAAAAAATGACTTATTACTACGTTTGATTCTGTGCTAAGGAATTAGAAATATTTGCAATTGTAAAAAGATGCTAATATAATAGACTCAAATTTGCTGAAAAGGGAAATTTTTTATACATTTCAGAATGTCTTTACCAAGGCCCAACAAAAACGGCCTCAAAATAATATATCTATAGGATATAAAAACAAAAAAAAAATAATCCTTAGGCATCTACGCCTGATCTTCACCGGAACTCGACTCGTCACCATAACCATCGGGGCCTTCAGATTCTATAAATAGTTCAAAGCCTCTTCACTTCCGGGTTCAGCTAGCTTCTTGGCCTCGACCTCAAGTCTCTTTGCCTCCTCGATCTCGGCAAATAGTTCAAAGCCTCGGGGATGGATCTCTTCGAGGGTCTCCCATCAGGATAGCAGCCTCATGTACTCAGCAGTAGTCTTCAGGCGGGCCTCGGCTGCTTCGACATCAGCCTTGTGCTGGGCCACCATCTCTTCAGCATCGGTGGAGGTTGTGCGCAGATGGGCTTATAGATTCACTTTCATTGCCGAGGGCATCCCGCTCTTCCAAAGCCGAGCTCAATTGCACTCAGAGTTCATCATTCAAGTGGGACCGCTTATCGGCTTTCTTTTTTGCTACCCGAAGTTGGACCTCTACCAATGCCAGCTGTGCCTGGGAGGTTTCCTTCACCGAAGCCAACCTTTCCATTTTGCTCTTCCAACCAACGGCCATGTCTTGGTCCTCATTCATTTCATCTCAGAGCTGGTCGATCTTCTGCTAAACCTGGGAGGTTTTGTCGTTAGTTGCCATGACTAAATCCTCATTGCTAACTTCAAAAACTTTACCTTTTTGACTAAATCGACATGTTCCTGCCTCAGGGTCGAAGCCTCCTTCTGAGCCCCGTCCAGCTCGTCCTGAAGATCCTTGATGGCCCCTTCGTGCTGCTCGCTGATAAGCTTGTACATATCACTTTTCTGTGCAAGCTCCTTAACCCCAAGCTCGAGCTGGTTGACCTCAGCTCGGTACCGAAGAATGATTCTATGATGAAGTACATAGGCCTACAAAAGGGTGAAAAAACATGAGAAGCATAAAAACCTAAGTAAGAAATCGAATGATCATAACGATGCCTTACCCGATTCAGTGCTTGCTGCGACTCATTCAATAATCACGGCACGTCCACCTCATTTATCTTCACCTGGTCCTCCTTGGTCACCAAACATCGAATGTAGCTCGCTACTCCCAGAGGAGTAGAAAGAATTCAGGCATCCTCTAAAATGGTAATTATTATCGATCTCTTATGACCGGGATCCACACTCGGGGTGGGAAACTAATTGATTAACTTTGGTCTTGAATTCGACCGGTCAACTTCTAAAGATGGATCGTTCCTCAGCACTTCCTGGTCGCCCTGCCCAGAAAAGTCTTCCAAAACGGATAAGTCCATGGCAGTGAAAAAGGAACGAAGGGGATCGTCCGTGCCATGAGCCTCTTCGTTAGACCTCTCCTCATCAACCTCCCGAATATGAGGGAGATCAGCCTTATAAATCCCCCCCCCCCTCGATAGCTGCCTCCTTCGGGAGGGGTCGGCCCGTGGGCCACGAAAAAAATTGTCTTCCTCAGGCTCATCCTCGAGCAGAAGAAGCGTGTCTGAGTCGGGTGCTCGGGAGCCAGAACATTTCTTTGGCTTATGGGCCATGTCCTTGTCCCCTTCTAAAGACCTAAGCTCAGCGGTCTTAGGCAAACCTACAAAAAGAAAAATAAGGAAAAGAGAGTAAGTATGATGCAAATGGGAAAACACGATGTTTCCTATTCGAGAAGGGTCTTACCATGAGAACGGGCCTCCCATTGGCCCTTCAAGAGTTTGCGCCATGTACGCTTGGAATAAGGTATATGTGAACAAATGCCCTCGATCCACTCCTTGAACTGAGGGATAACGTTTGGGACTCGAGTGGCGGTTGCACCACCAACGTACTAGTGTGAAAAAAGGAGATAAACATAAAATTGGCATTTAAAGGAAAACTGTACTTATGAGATGCATTCCACTTCTCGGGGAATGGCATGAACTCGGAGGGGATCAAGTCTTCGGTCCTCACCCGAACGAAGTGTCCTTGTCAGCCCCAGTCCCGGTCTTTATCGATACTCGAAAATGGGGCTCTGCTGGCCCGGCATGTAAGTTTTATTAGTCCCCCTCGAAAGATTCGGGGACTGTATAGGCGGAGTAGATGATCACAATCCTCCATAGTGACGGATGGATCAGACCGAGGCATACTTCGTACCTCTTGCAAACATCCAAGATAACCGAGTCCACCGGGCCCAATGTGAAGGGATAAGTGTAAACACTTAGCTAGCATTTGGCCATAGATTCCCAAATTTATTTTGAAAAATCTGATTTGGTGATGTTTGGTTTGAAGATGAAAATGTGTTTGGACATCAGTTTTCAAAACATATTTCACTTTATTTAGAAACATGAAACATGACTTATACCCACAAGTTCTAAAAGTATCACAAATACCCAACAATACCCTCATCAATAACATTCATTATATAATTGCAAACCATTATCCTGAACATAAACAAATTTGGTAAAAAATTATCATTTTATAATAAACTATATAATATACTATCAGATGATCGAGAAGATGAAGCAGTATTATTACAAAATAATAAATGGTGGGCTCTTTTATAAAATACAAAAGATTGGGGAAATTTTTTCTAAAAATGTAATAGTAATATTTTGGGCCAAAACCAGCTCTTGAGCTTGTTTTGGGATTTGGGTTTTGGGTTTTGGAAATTTGCCAAAATATAGATAAAATTTATGAACAAACATGTATTTGCCAAAAAAAAACCCAAATAAATTTTGGCAAAATCTATGGCCAAACGAGTCCTTAGATACCCTTCCACATGGGTAGTAATGGCGTCATCAGGCCCGGGGACCGCTACATCCTTACCTTCCCAGTTGCACTCTTCTCAGACCACGGGAAGGACGTCTTCGATAGTGGAGCATATATACCCTGATGCTCTTTCACCCCGGTCCTGTACCGATGAAGGCTTTTCAACCTTAAAGTCATCTGCAACTGAGCATCCCTCGGGGATGAACATTTTTATGGGAGGCAGGGAGGGGGAGGGGGGTTATTAGTAGCCGCGCCAGGTGCAGACATCTCGAGGATGACTATATCGGGAGTGACCGCATCGATTTCAGCAGTCGGTTGGGAACAAGAAGAAGCGACTTGTTGAGGAATGGATTTAGATGTTTTAGCCATTATTACCTGAAAAGGCTTTAAAAATCTAA